ACTAGCTAACACTCTAATAGGAGAAGAACAATTTTACGATCTTTATTGTTTTATCTTACTGCCAAACTACACAGGATTACACCTGGTTCTAGCTTTGATTATCCATCCTTTAGTTTTAATGGAGCAGAGAAAAAAAGAGCAGAGCTTACCAGATGCTCTCTATATTTGCATTCTAAAGCTCAGGCTCTTGTCTGTAACTGTGTCACCAAAGCTCCTTTATTAGGAAATCAAAATAAAAGAGGGGCTTACATTAAAACATAAGGAGAGCTTTTTGCTTATAGCCATGTGCAGATGAGAATGTCAAGGTAAACTGGTAAAAGCCTAAGCTTTTCCTACAGTACGATGGATGGCTTTTTGAAATATTGTCTACTCAATAGCAACGTAATGCCACTGGCTCTTCAGTCTCACCTGGCAAGCTCTGACTATCACATAGGTTCACACACATTAGTGATATTCAAATTCATTATCTCTAATTAGATTCAAACTCTGTTTTCAATGATTGTAGGCTAAGTAACTCTACCTGAAGGACTAGTCATGGCCACTACCGAGCTACACTCTCCTGTGTTCTTTTTCTCCACTGCAGTGGATCTCAAAGTGTGGGCCCTGAATCAGCAGCTCGGCTGGAAATTTCTCTGAATCAGAGGGGTGTGGTCCTGCCACCTGTGCTTGAACAAGTCCTCCAGGAGAGTCTCACGCACACAGAAGTTCCAGAACCACTGTCCTAATGGAACCATCATTCTTCTTTGACTCAGGCTCAAACTGCAAATTATTTCCATCTTTTCACCATTTCCTTCCTTTCTCTTATTCTCTTTCCTTCCCATACCTCAAACATTAAACAGTTTCCCAAATTCTGTCACTCCACCTCGCTAACACTGGTTGGAATCCATTTCTTTCCTTTCCATACTACTCTAATTGATTCTCACATTATCTTCAGACTCCTGCAATAAATCCTAAGTCTTCTTCTATCATCATGGTGGGGGGCCTTGCCTCTGCATTTCACATTTCTTCCAGATAAACTGAAAGGACAATATTACTCATCAATACTCTCTACCCTTTATTGAAGTTTACTGGGCTCCAGGGGCCCTGCTAAGTACTTTATATGCATTACTTCATTAACTCTGCAGTCAGCCTGCACGATGGTCAGGGTTACCCTCATTCCACAGAGGTGTGATTGCCTACAGTCATTCAAGGCCAGGATTTTGAAATCATATCAGTCTGACTCCTAACCCCATGATGTTAAACACTATGCATCAGGCTCTTCTTACTTCATAATAAGAACTTATAAAAAGCCAACTATTTTAAGACCCATGGCGGTCTGCCTCTCTCCAACCCCCGAAAAACCTTTCTTTGGTCTCCTGTCATTCTTTTTCACATACCTAGACTGAACTATTTACGGTTTCCTATACATTGCACTAAAAGCTTTTTCTCATATTGTTCCATCCACCCGAAATACCACCCTCCCGTGAGTGCCTACAGTCCTTTATCCAGGCCTTGAGCAAAGTGTTTGGCGTATTACATGTGGTCAATTTACTAATTTGGATTCTTCTTAAAGAACAGTAAAATCTGTATTTTATTCACCTTAGTATCCTTCTAACTCAAATCAAAAAACCAAAACCAAAAGAAGAAAACCCTGTTAATTCATTCAGGGTAAATTTATACAGTACATTTTATTTAGTATGTTATAGTTTATTGCATAGATTTTTAGATTTAGTGATTCATGAATATTTTTATATAAAAATAGGCACAATATTTTATGGTTGATCCTTTTTGAGGCTCTTAAAGCCTTTAGAATGTAATAGTCATATCCTTACAATGTAGGTAAGGAAAATTAGAAAAAAAAATTACACAAGAGAATGTTCTACTTTTATTTAAAGTCATAGAAAGATGTTGAGGCAGAGCTAGGATTAGATCCTGAGTTATCCAAAATTTTTGTTGACTGCCCTTTTAACAAATTAGCTCTACCAGGAATTTCGTATTTTTCACGGTGACATGAGCAAATAGGTTTTTTCTTTCCAAAAATTAAAATAAAATAAAATAAAATAAATAATGTATGCATAATTTCAGTGGCATGTGACTTATTGCTGTTAATATGACTGACCCCATGACATTGCTCCATGACCATAATTGCTTATACCTATTCCCACCTGCTGAATTCCCTGATCTCTTAGGCATCAAATCCAGCCTACCAGAAAATCAGGAGTTTCCCAGCCTTGGTGTGGCATTTTAAAAAACCTGTCAACCAATCCACTGACATTTTATATTCTTTAACTAGCAATACCTTCTTTTATTTTCATCTACCTCTTATCCTAAAAAGTAGAATGTGTTTGTGTGTATGAATGTGTATATGTAAATATAAATAATTCTAGTTAAGTCTTCTTTTAGTTGAGGTTTTACTAATTTATGTTTAAGAATTCCTTGTATTTAAAGAAGTCCTAGTAGTCAAAAAATTGAGGGAAAGATTTACCACATGAAAAATGGATGCTTAGAGACAGTGTCAGTTATAGTTGTCAATGACAATTACCTCTGTCATTTTCCGGCAAGGTAGTCCACTTGGTAGAATTAATATCAAAAACACAATTAGCTTTTCTTGAAAATACTCGATTACCATTATTTTAAAATTCATTAAGAAATTATTTAAAAAAATCATGACTTAACACTAACAGTTTATCTGGTTTTCTAGTACATAAATATTTCAAAATTAGTAAGACCAATGATGTATATCACCTCATGTTAGATGCTTATTTAGGAGTTAATTGACTGTACAGTAGATGATAATAATGCATATAAATCATTAGTTCCTGAAATGGAAAACTGAGAAGGATAAATGACCAACCTCCCACACTCTCTATGTGGACTAGTTATTGCAAACACAGCAAAAAAATATAAAAATTATATGAGAAACAAAAACAAGGCTAAATTTAATCTTTTTCTTCATTAGTTCTAATAACACTAGGGAATAAGAGGCTAATTTTAAAATGATTAATTTAAGGTTTGGTTAGTGAATTAATGAAATGTAATGGGGAAAGAAAACAAACACCAACTAACGCAGGTAGATATTTTCTTATGATTATACTTTTAAAATTACTTCTAGAGTTGTTCTTTCTGCTGTGCAGATATTTTACGGCTAAAGTGCATGGTGGTGTAGAGGGTGATATTACTGGAATTAGAAAATACATCTATAAGTTGGTTCGCTGTGAAAGCTTGTTACCTGGCTTAAGAGGTATAAGTTTTCAGTTGCTTTGTCTTCTTAACAGTTTTGCATTTTATCTGTATGGCTTCACTAACATTATCGCTCCTTCTAAAATCTCCAGTAACTGCCCTGAGATTCCTGAGAAATAAGGGTAAGAAAAACCAATGTATTATTGATAACCAAAGGTCATATCTAACCCACGAGGAACATGAAAGCCTTAGGACAGAACTGGAGCATGTCTAGCTACAGGCTGAGTCCAACCTCAAAATGTCTGCATCCAGACTCATGCCCACCCAGTGTTCAGGCCCACAAATGTTTCTATATATAATGTTCCTCTGTTTTTCTCTGACTCTTCTGCTTTCTCCCCTAATATCCAGCTCCTTCTGTTGGTTAGTTGTATATAAATGCAAAAGTAATTTACCCTCTGTTACCCTTATGTAATAGCTGTATTTTCCCTATTTACCCCCTAAAAAAGACAAGTTAAAATAACATTGCTTTTTACTTGTGCTAAGTCTATTTAACTCTCAGCATAAAACAAGTAAAGAGTTCTTAGGAAAAAGAAGAGCCAGATTTGAATAATCCTCTTCTAATTGTTCAGGATAATTTACCTGAAAGAATCTTTTAAACTACCGCATTTGGAATTCTTCTTTTTCTTGCATATAATATAGTCATGAAGAAATATATCTGCTTATTTTTGGAACAGGTATAATTTGATATCAAATGTCTTTCTTATTTTTTATTAAGTCTTAATACTAATAATAATACTATGTACCACTGAAAGAATGCCAACTGTAGGTCAGGCATTCTCTATATTTTTTCTCTAATTCTTACAAAAGTATAGGCCGCTATTGAGTTGAGCTATCACAGGGTGGGAGAGGCAAAATGAATGACTTGCTCAAGGTTACATAATTAATTAGTAACAGAAGAGCAGGGAATGGAATTCTAAATTCTTGCTCTTTCCATTATAGGAAGCTGAAAATATTAAGCTTGTCTCATTTTCTATTCCTGAAGGTTATATTTAGAACTGTAATCGACTTTACTGCTTCGGAACTCTCTTCCCAAATCAAATAAAGCCCTGGAATGTAATAAGAATTAAAGAGCCAGATGCTAGTATACATGAGAACTTACTAATTATGACAAAGGTAGAATTTCATTCAATGGGAAAAGTACTGCTGGCATAATTAGAGAAAACAAAGCTAGATTACTACCTCAAACCATACGAACACATGCATATATGCACACACACACACACACACACACACACACACACAAGTTCTATAATAAATGTAGAGAAAATACTCAAATATATAAAAAGATGACCTAGGAGAGTATTTTTTTAACTCTAGGATAGAGACTTCCTTAAATAAGACGAGAAACCCCAGAATTCTAAGGGATAAGAGGGGCAAACCTATCTACATAAAAACAAAATGTCATATGCCAAAGATGATGCAAATTAAGTTAAATGACAAAAAAAGAGAAAATTAAATATTTGTAACACCTAATACATAATGCATTTAAAATCTCATATAAACAAACTTTACAAAAACATAGTAAAAAATAGACAAATGGTATAAACAAGCAGGGTCATCTAAGATAAAATGTAAACACTAATCAAAATATCAGGAAAAATATTGCTCAATTTCATGAGATATCACTTTTCCTCTTATTGGCAAACATTTTTAAAGTGGTATCATCCAAGGCTGGGGAGGAGGCAGAAAAAGGCCACATACTGTTCATGTGAGTGTGCTTTACTATAACCCTTTGGGAAAACAATCTGGTAACATCTACTAAAATTAAAAATACATATTCCGTCTACAACCATGCCACCTTGAATGTGCCCGATCTCGTCAGATCTTGGAAGCTAAGCAAGGTTGGGCCTGGTTAGTACTTTGGATGGGAGACCTCCTAGGAATACCAGGTGTTGTAGGCATTTTAAAAAAACAATTTAAAAAAATACATATTCCTCATAACCTTGCAATTCCACTTTTGGATATCTACAGAAATAAAAGTATATGTAAAATATTAATCGCAGCATTATAAACAATTTGAATATCTATCTACATGGCAATATTTTAACAAATTATGGAATCTCCACACTACATGTAATAACTACTATGTAGTTATTAAAAAGAATGAACTGGACCTTGCCTCAGAAGAATATTATATATAATTACGTGAAAAAGCCAGCTGAAGAGCTGGGTAAACACAAAAAATAACAAAATTAAAAAAACCCCAACTCTATATAGGTTTGCTTGAGCATAGAGAAAACTGGTAGGAACTCAGCAGCAGATCACTGAGATTGGTTACCTCAGGAGGGTGGGATAGAGAAATTACCTATATTTTTATATTATCTCTTTATATTGTTTCACCTTCTATAAATAAGCACATAGTTTGTAAATATAGTTTGTAAATTCTGAAAATTAAGAAGAAAAATAAAAGGGTTAAAAAAGTAAAGTATTGTTTAAATACCACCAGGACAGATCTTGCTTAAGAAACAGCGCATTCCTAGAAAATGGTTTTCTGATGAAGAGAACTGACATTTTTGCTTTTTTGAAGCTATTAAAGTACTCAAGGGAGTGCCTTTCTAGTTACTAGATGGGGTGCTGCCCATTTCATGAATCGCCTAATAAAATCAATTAGATCTTCCAAAAGGTAAATAAATAAATAAAGGGATTCAATAACTTTTTAATGGCCTGTAGAGACCTACTCTAACAGTAAGTAACAACATTTACCAGATTCAAAAGTACACAGCATTGGTAAGGGTGTGGAGAAAAGATACTGTGGGAATAAAAATTGGTGTAAACTCTTGGAAGAGTAATTTAACTATATCTAAAAAAATTAAATATGTACCTACCCATGAGCCCATCAGTTCTAATGCTGACATTTTGGATATAGTTGGAAAAGTACACAAAACCAATCTATCAGATACAATTGGAAACAATCTGACATGCATTAATGAGGAACTGGTTAAATATATTTACACATCTATAAAATGGGACTCCATGTAATTGCTAGAAAGGACTGAAGTAAATCCACATGTACTGATATTGAATAATATCCAAGAAACATTACTCAAGAAAATAAAGTTTAGCTGGGTGTGTGTGTGTATGTGTGTGTGTGTGTAAAAAGACATATATGATGAATTATATAGAAAATTGTTCTCTTGACATATACTTGGGAAACTTAATTTTGGAGAAAGTTTTAACAATTGGAAAGAAGGACTAGGCATTTGTAGGGTGCCTTACTTTCTATTTTAAATTTTTTAAGGTAAATATTTATTTTACCTTGGGTATTTGTAAATAAAATAGTTTACTCTTATAAAACCACACTAAGACCCTAATTTTTACTATTAGTTAAATTCTGACTTATTAAAGAAGAGACTGTTTTAAGAATGTTTTTATGAAGGTCATGAAATACATGAGCACAATAATAAATATCCTATTTGAAAATATATATCATATAATGAACTGACTGATTTAATGGATCCCACTGCACTGCATATTTTTCTTGCAACTGCAGGACTCTTTAATAAAGAACTGATATCTTTAGAATGGTGCTTCTTAGCTTGCTCTATAGTTTTAATTAATTTCTATAAGCTGCTAGCGAGTAAGAAAGAAAAGACCATCTTATGCTCAATGTAACTATAAAATTAAATCTACATAACCTTTCTTACAAACTCTATATATCAACATATTTTTTTCTAAGTAAAACATGGAAGACGACCCTACACTTAACTTTAAACTATAAATAACGTCAGGCCAAATTACTTAGGTACTATCAAACGGTAAACTTTTCATTTGATAAACTAATAATATTTATAGTCTGAAAGGGTAGTTATTTTTTGTACTGTATAATTTTAATTAGGTATTCAAAGTAGAAATGATTTTTTAAGGTAATAGCTGATTATATGTATATTTACATACATATTTTTATTGTGGCCAAATATACATAACATAAAATTCATCACTTTAACAATTTTTAAGTGTACAGTTCAGTGACATTAGGTACATTCACACTGTTGTGCAACCATCGCCACCATCTATCCCTGGAACTCTTTTATCTTCCCAAATCGAAATGCCATAAACATTAAATAATAACTCCTGATTTCTCCCTTCACCCAGCCCCTAGCAACCACCATTTTATTTTCTGTATCTGTGAATTTGACTATTCTAGGTACCTCATATGAAGGGAATCATGTAATATTTCTCTTTTTGTGACTTTAGGGTAATGACCTCAAGGTTCATCTATGTTGTAGCATGTGTCAGAATTTCCTTCCTTTTTAAGACTGAAAAATGTTCTTTGCATGTATATACCACATTTTGTTTATACATCCATTCATCAATAGATATTTGAGTTGCTTCTATGTATTTTTAAAAACCCCAAAATGCTATATCATATTTAAGCCAAATTCTCCAATAAAATCTATATTGAAATACACATTTCTATTTTCTTCTCTATTAGCTTCTTCTGTCAAAATACTATTAACTTTCATGAGGTTAAATGTCCTACAGACATGGATGAAACTAGTATTAATGGCTTCCCTTCTGTAATTTAAAAGACTAATTTGATTATACATTCATTCATTTGTTTAAACTTCGAGTGCCTACTATGTGCCAGGTACTGTGGTTGGCAGAGATGAGGAGAGAGAAGGGTGGACACTGAGGGGAGGGGAAAGAGAAAGAGAGAGAGACAGAGAAGAAAGAGAGAGAGAGAGAGAGACAGTCAGTCAGACAGACACACATACACACACATACACACACAGACGGATGAGAGAATGCATGCATGAGCTCCACAATCAAACCCAGGAAGGCTGTGTGGGGGCCATGAGAGCAGAGTAGTCTAAATTTTACAGGGAGTTTCTCCTCAAGACAGTGGGGAATTGAATTAAAACAGTCAAGCTGAAATATCAAAAATAAATCTCCATTTCAAGATGCCAAATAAAATAAGCTGCCTAGAAAGTTGGTGAACATGAAAAACTGAGTGGTGCTGATGAGACCATGTGGTTTGGCATCCACTTCTTGGTTGCTTGGTATAACAATGCAAACACCATCTGGCTCACTAGCTGTTGGGTCTCTAAGGTGTGTGAGAGCTTTAATGAACTTTCAAGTCCCATAAAAACTTCTAACCACAGATTTTGCTCTAATATCACAGAGCAGGTGTTGGCAAACGTTTTCTATACAGGGCAGGAGAGTAAATATTTTAGGTTTTTGTGAACGATAAGGTAGGTCTGTCACAACCACCCACTTCTGCCTTGGTAGTGGGAGAGCCGCCACATATGGTAACACAAACAAATGTGTGTGGCTATGTTCCAATTGATTTTATTTATAAATACTGAAATTTGAATTTCATCTAATTTTCAGGTGTCATGAAATAGTTGTCTTCTGATTATTTTTAAACCATTAAAGATGTAAAAAGTATTCTTAGCTTGACGATGTAAAAAAAAAAAACAGGTGGAGAGCCAGATTTGGCCTGTGGGCCAGGGTTTGCCCATCCAGGTCCTGGAGTTTAAATACTTGTAAGCCTCTTTAAAGCATACGATTTGAGGTAGACCAGAACAAAGATGGACGGATCATAGGATTGGGGTCCAACCTGGATCTGAATCTAGGCTGTGTCACTTACTAGCTGTATAATATTGTTTTAACATCTATAAACCACAGTTTAATATGTAAAATAGAAATAATACCCACAGCATAAAAAAGTTGGTGTCGAGTATATGAACAAGATGCTAAATGTTCTGTAAACTGTCAAGCTATTTTTAAAGACAGGCATTATAAAGTAAAAAATATATACATTTAAAAAATATGCCATGTTCTCCCCCATGAGGTTCGCTCACCAAAAATTTAGAGATATATTTTCAATTCCTAAGTAGAGGAGAAAAACATGAAGTAAACTGCATGACAGATAGATGTCCTGGATTCCATTTTTACTAAGCTCTTAGCATTATATAATGTTATTATACCACTCAGTTAATAATTTTATTTCTTTTACCTTCTGATTCTATTCTGTTCTCAGTAGCTCTGATTTGTCATATTTTGTTCTCTACTCTTAATCCTCATATAAAGAGGATTCGATTATATATATATAATCACATGAAGAAAGTAGTGGCCGAAGTACCATTCATGACAAATGACAGAGAAAAATGTTTGCTTCTTGCTACTATCACATGTCTATTTTCTAGTAATTAAACTTCAAAACAAGTCATCTCAGCAAATTTAGAGATTCTCACAAAATTAAAAGGCATAATTTCTTTATATAGCTAGCATGAAGATATCAAAATATTAATGCCAATGAACAGTACAGGGATGGTGGGTAAATATGTTAAGTTGTTCTTTAATATTCAGGTACTGATTTAAGATGACCCAAAGTCTTTATTCAATATTTCTCATCACAACATATACATATATTGAATCATTATATTGTACATCTGAAGCTAATATAATGTTGTATGTCAAGTACACCTCAATTTTTTAAAAAGAGACATTTCTTCCTTGTGTCTATTTTACAAAAATACTGTAAAACAACTTTTTCCTCTTGTCTTTTGAAGATATTCTGACCAGTAATTTTCATGCCACAACTCATACCTCCAGTTGGCAGATATGAAAAGATCGAACTGAATTCTGGAACTATCTTCTCTCCTTTTAAAGGCAGGAAGTTGATGTGATGAGAGAATGCTACCTCTGAGCTGAATGCACGGTGCAAATGGTCAGCAGACTATCAGGTTCAGTCAGCGCTTTTGCCCAGGCCTGAGGCTCAGGTAAGCAGAGGCCAGTATGCTGGCCTTTACCTGCCTCAGAGGTGCCACCAGCCTTGGTGCCTGGGGCCATGACTGCCTGCATGCATGTACATGTGAGCAAGAAGGAGAAGACTGGGTTCCTTTGGAAAGAAAGGATAATACATTTTGCCAGAGGAGACCTTCTGAATCTATCAGCA